AATCATTGTTTCACACCGTCAACACAAGCAATATATTTTTTTAATCATTCTATTGGGATGATCAGTTCTTTCAAATAAAATTGATAACCTTTTAAACTTTTTTGTATCTCCGAAACCGCTGAGCCTGCCTTTGACAATTTATCAACACGAATCGAATGTTTCTTAAATCCTTTAAATTGGTTGATCCGCTCTGATGTTGTCGACAAAAAATTATAGACTCTTAAAAAAATGTCATTTTGACATTTCTGAACCAATTTTGAAAATTCAAAAACTGATCGAAAGTTTTCAGTTGGCATCGTGCTGAATAGTTTTTCGTCAAGATCGACCGCACAGTTTCTTCGCAATTTATTGTAACAATCTTTTTTTCAAAAAAAACTTAGAGATAAAAATTATAGTCCCATCTAACATAAATTTTATGGAACTACGATAAATGATTAATTATAACAAGTCAATAAATTTTAGAATAATGGGACGAGCTTTTAGACCATGTGTACCTACTATGTGATGTGCGGATTTGTGCACTCAAATTAGTGTGATTATAGATTTTTTAAATCTAATTAATCACTTGCAGATTGCAAAATTTTGTCTAATTAGTTATTAAGCCAGTGATTTCCAACCATTTTTCATTCATAATGATCGAAAAAACATAAAATTTGCTAATCAAATGGCAAAAAAGAAACTTCTTCGGGATAATTATTTAATTTTAGTGCTTTTCTAATAGCTGGAAAACAAACCATTTTTGCCCAAGAGTTTGTTTATTTTAACTTGTATAATTTTTGTTTATTTCAATTGGTCTATTTATCTGATTAAAATTAAATCTCATATACAGTTATAGTAATCGCAAAAAATCGAAAACAAAAATGTTTATATATCTTTAAAGATTTCTGTACATTTTGGCAAATTTTCGTCGACGATTTCTCGCACATGGATCAACCAATTTGAAAAATTCAGAAAACATTTGACATGTATTGAAGTTAAGAAGACGTGCCGATTAGTTTTTGGCAAAGGCAGGATAACCCGTTTTGAAGATACGGGGCAAATGTGCCAAACTGATTACATTTTTAGGAAGGCAGGTCTAGCGGTTTTGGAAATCCAGTAAAAAAGCACAACAAAACCCATTTGGCATATGCACATCAAATTATCAGATATTTTATAAAGATTTTAATTAATAGTGAAGTTAAGTTAGACTGCAACGCGGCGTTTACGCGCTTCGATATTTCGTCTCTAAGCCGCTAACGCAACGTGATTGCTTTGAAAAAAAGTTCAAAATTTTCAACAAAATATTTCGAATTAAAAAAAGTCAATTTCTTTCACTTTACAATTTTTTTTAAAGCTTTTCAAAAATTTAAATTACGGCACGAAAAGTTTCAGCAATTTGCCTTTAGGCACGATGCCATGCACCACTAGTCAACTTGCAACTGTTAAAAAAGGGGGGCCTCGCAAACGAATTTCGCCGACGCCCACAAATGGTCTAGCGCCGCCACTGTCTGTAGGTTTTAGTTGTTTCATTTTTATTTGAAAATTATGTAATGTTTTTGAAGTTTTTTATTTTATGTAAAATTTATGTTCTTGTTAGATATGTTTATAATTTAAACAAAATAAAAAAATAAAATGCATTTTGGATGAAACCATATTATATATTTATTAAATTTGGAACCGATCCCATTGAATTTGTATGAATACGTATTAGAATAATTGATTCATTATACGGCTTTTCGCTTTACGGCCAAGTTTTGCGGAACGTATCTAGGCCGTAAAGCGAGGCCCCAGTGTATTTTAGTACGCGAACTGTTCTGTTAAAAGTTCTATCAAGTTTTATGTTAGAAAGTTTTAGCTATGCTCAGACGACTTATTATGCGTCAGAAAAACCTACTAGCATTAATTCAGACAACGGCACAAATTTTGTTGAAGCGTCGTTGACAATTAACACGTTGCCGCACACTTTTAATTTGACGATCGTGCTTAGAAACACACTATTTTCTCATAAGTAAAATTTTTAACTACTAGCTGACCCGGCAAGCGCTGTTTTGCTAAGTAAGGCGTATTCTAAACAATTTCTAGAGAATCAAAGAAATAAATACTTTAAGTGTATAAGGATGTGTTGTTTTAATGCTATATACAATGAGGTATTATAAAAACAATAAACCCCATTAGTTTGTCTATATTTTCTCTTTCTATAGAAAAGTCTTTTTTGGTCTTTCGACTTATTGATTACGTTGCAAGTTTTTCAGATTCTTTTTGGATTCTGGATTTTGTGTATAATTGTAAATAATACTACTGAACTTATATAAAATTTTCAAATGTCTGCGAGGAGAGATAGAAAATGAAATAAGTATTGTCATGGATTCCCTTTTATTTGTCATGGACCCCTTTTCATTTATTACTATTCTCCTTAATTCATGCTCTATTTTTTTGTTATGGTTTGTACATTCGCGGTCTCTCTACAACCTTACTCTAACATCGCGATCCTGTAAGAAACTCACTATGCTATAGTTACTAATAATGAAAAGGCGTTTGTTCGTTATTTAATTAACTAACCTATATTTACACATAATAATTGCTTATTCTAAAACATTACTTATTCTAACATGCAACTTATATCTACACTTATCTGTAACCCACGGCGCAACCAGTGTCCAATACCTATCCATACATCGGGCCCGATTTGCATTAATCACTTAACCATCACCTTTAGGAATTTTCACTAATTCTACTTTCTGTTGGGGGACAGCCTCCGAAACGCTGTCCCCCCATAACGTCCTCTAGGCTCACATTAAAAACCTCTTTCTAGACTGCCTCGAGCCTTCGGACACACTCCTCATCAGGGACATCGTTTACACGCATATAGGGAGAGGGGTAGTTATGGGGCCCTCCCCCACACATTCGTAACAGCATTTCCTCTTTGACCTGCTTTTTGAAAAGTTTCAAGTAACATTCGATGAATTAAAGTAAATTTAATGAAAAGTATATATGTAAAGCAGGGCGGGGCACAAAGGTCCAATTTGAATCTGAGCAAATATAAACTATATCATAAAAATCAAACCAATTATATCACAACAAATAACACATTTCAAACGAACAATTATCTGACTAAGTTCAGTAAAACTGCCAGCTCCTTCATCGTTGTAGAAATGCGATTTTTTGCCGTCTTTCAAAAATTTGTTATCTAGACCTTTTTACCTTATAGGCGAGGTAACTTGAAACGGACAGGTGGCAAAAAGATTTAAAGCCTTATTATAGTTTTAAAGGTATTTTACAAAATAATTACATTTTTAATTAATGCTAAAAAACTACCAACGATAAATTCTGGGAAATTATAACTGAGATAATGTTATTCGACAAAATGTCCATTTGGTCGATACGAAATTTAGGTTCTGAATTTGAATAACATAAATAAAAAATAATATAACCTAAAAAATGTTTTATAAATACCAATAAGTATATAATTATACAAATGAGATCTTTTAGAGTACCGTGTTCGAAAAAAGTATGATTTGCAAAAAGATAGTGTTACAACGCCAAAAAATGCATTTTCATATTAACATTTCAAAAAAGTTGATATTTTGAGTTTCTAGTAACACTTGCGATCCGTTTAATAACGTTTTTGTATATAAATATAACTACGAACAAAACTACTTACTACAATTTAATCATAATTAAATAATATTCACGTAAACATCTTATTAAACGTAATTGAACATCATCTGTCAAAAACGTTTGACATTTCACGTATTAACCACCGTCCATTGTTTTACTCAAATTACGCTTCTACAAAAAATTTCAAATTAAAAATGTAAAGTTTCTACGCGATTTTGAAATATTATCTCACCTTTCCGACCTTCTCTGGATTGGCACGAATTTTTCAAGACTAAGACTGGACAAATCGGTTTAGTCGTTTTCCTCGCCGCATCCCCCTTTATAATTATTTTATTAATTTATCCTTACTATAGAACCATTTACCATTTCCAAAGAAATTGACAAAGTTTATTGCTATCATCTGTATTAAACGTATTATAGAAATTTTAGTAATTTTATATTTGTATTAGTATATTGTGAACTCCCCCTTCCAGGCAGTTTTTATCATTTTTATATTATGCTTTTAAGTTTATAAATTTAGAATTCAGTAAGTTGTGAGACTAAGCAAATCTTGAGAAATTTACATCGCACAAGTTACTCAACCATTTAATAAAATAAATGTTTCTATTTTTTTTTCACTCTTCTAAGTGTACACAAGTATTTAAAAGTGCAGTAATTAATTTTTCTATGAAGTGATAATGGTGAAGGCACATTAAGGTGTATTCGACGCCTTAACACAGCTTTTAAATCTTTTGAACGGAATTAGGATGTTCTGAAAGAACGAATGAAAAATTGCAAAAAAAAATAATATTGCTTCAGTACATTTTTTTGAAAACTTTATAAGTTTTTGAAGTATTTTGAATAAAATTAATTCGTGATAAATTAAAAATAAAAGTAAAAGCAAAGCATATATCACATGTATAATATAATTCTTTATAATTTTGCATACAAACACATTTTGATAAAAGTTTAGTGATACTAGTGGTGTTGTCGAGCCCGGAACGCGCCGGAACGTCGTGCCGGCAAATCAGTTTTGGGCCGGAACACGTTCCGGCAAAAAAGAAATGAAAAAAATTGCTACATACAGAAAATGATTGATGAGTGAATTTTATAATTTATATTTCAACTAATTTTTATTAAATGTTCCTATTATTGTAATAAACATACATATATATGCACAAAATGGGTTTTGTAATGATTTTTGTTTCTTTCCTTTTCGAACGCAACTGGAACAAACATGAAAACCGGTTTTTGAACAAATTTTTCAATATTAGCATTCCGGTAAAAAAAATTTTAGCACAACACCACTGGTGATACCTACACATAAATGATGTATTTAAAAAATATGAAATATAAATGCTTATAAATTATTCATACTTTTAATTTTTTTATACTTTGCGATGAATTAATTCAAAAATTTCTAGGCTCGGAGAATTATGTGAAAAGATTCCACTACATTGTATAAGTAGCATTGAATTGGCCAATGATATTTTAAATGGAAGGAGTAATTTAGTGAGCAAGCATAATTCAATTGTTCAAAAAAATGCATTGAAATTACTTTCAATTTTGTTACCGGTATCTGAGGCAGCAGAAGTTATGAAGCTTTTTGCAAGTTTTGCATATTCACAAGTAATATTTTTTATCAATAGCTTTGGTGAATATTTTGGTGTATTTTATTTTTTCTTCAGGATGCAAGAGTTCGATCAGCTGCAATAAATTCTATGTTAAAGTTACATTCTCGCGGAGCTATATTGGATCCAAAGTTATTTTTTATTGCAACTGAAGCATTAAAGGATGATTATGAATGTGTCAGAAAGGAAGCTCTTAACATAATAGCTGAGTTGGGAAACACACACCCCGAGCAGTAAAACTATTCAGTATATTAAATCTTTATTTTTATAAACCATAAACTATTTATGCTTAATTTATTTGCAGCATGATATTGGTGCCTGAAACAGATTCTGAATTGAGATTAATTGATGCAGCGTTTGGTCATGTTTGCAGTGCGGTTTGCGATTTAATTGTACGGTGAGAATATAATTTAAAATTAAAATTAAATCTGGATTCTTGATTGAAAATTAACATGAAATCAATTTTATTTATTTTAAAGGATTCGTGTACAAGCTGCGGGTTTGCTAGGAACAATGATAAAGGTTGGACCTACCTTTTTGATTCAAACTTTAGATAAAAAATTAATGAGTAATATGCGTGTAAGTATTAGTACTATAATTTAAGTTTTTAAATTATCAACTAATTGTTTCTAAGCTTTTAAACCAAAAGCCATCACTTTCTTCAAAAAAAAATATTTTAAAAATTTTTGAAGGGGACATTTCATATCCTTGAACGTCGAATAAATTAATAATTAATTTTTCAACACTTTTTTTATTTTTGCAGTAAATTTTTGTTTTTAATGCTGCATGGCATCGTGCCTTAAGGCAAATTGCTGGAACATCCTGTACCGAAATATAAAATTTTTGAAAAGGTTTTTTCATTCATTTTTTAATATGCATTTTTAGCAATTAATATTAAACAATGATAGTGTATTTATAATAATCTATTTGAAAGCATTTAATATTTATAATATCGAACATTTTGATACGGTAGGGGAAGTTCCAGCAATTTGCCTTAAGGCACGATGCCATACACAACTAGTTAATACTAAGTTTATCTAAAAAAATAAAAGTCGATTACGCAAAGCGTCTTTGTGAGACTTTTGACTCGTGATAAAGAACCTTCGCGTCATAAAAATTGAACGTATAGTTGTTTAGATTTAAATATTCTGTGATCATTGCTTTTGATTTTTGTGTTGAGTTATTGTCGTGTTGTTTTAAACGTTTAATAAGGTTTTGTCCTGTTTGTTGCATAATAATCGTAGATTTGCGTTATAAAAAAGGATCAGGTTGGGGTTAATTATTTTGTTTTTTTTAAATAGTGAGGGTGTTGTTTGTGATGAATTTTATTAGATGTGGGGGGATAGGAGTTATACATGAGGGTTTTGAAAATTAAATCTTTAAATAAATAATTTAATTAAAAATTAAATCTTTAAATAAATAATTTTAACTTTGCAATTCAGTTTATATAATTGTTATAAATATTATACAATGTTCTTCATTTTAAATTCGATTGATTAAGTTTTGTTTATTAAGTTATTTGTAAAGATCTGTTCACACGACGCTTGTTTCATTGCTTTTTTGATCGGCTGGCTGGCATGCTGATTATCAAGTAGTCAAAATGACGAGTTTTCGATCTCTATTGGTTTTCAGCAAGCAAGATTTTGATTCTTGACACGACTCGTATGATTCGGGCCTTTTTCATAGGTCTATGATCCGTCCACAAAAATAGCGCACGTTCTAACATCAATATCTCGCTTGCTGAAAACCAATAGAGATCGAAAACTCGTCATTTTGACTACTTGATAATCATCATGCTTGATTTTTACGTATGATTTGTTTTAGCTTGTTTGGTTTTTGAGTGTGATTTGTTTTGAATTGATAGATTTTTGAGTGAAATTTGTTTTAGTTTGCTTGATTATCAAGTATTATAAATGACCAAACATGACCAAATAGCGCCTCCCTATTGGTTCGAACGAACAAATCTCTCTAACAGCATGCAAGCCAGCAGACCAAAAAAGCAAAGAAACAAGGCTCGTGTGATTAGGGCTTCGATCGTGCGCTATTTTTCAACTTCTTGTAGGGTAGTTACAGTAATGGGCCGAAAATCGAAAATGTTTTTTTTGCATTTCTTGACGTTTTGAAGGTTTCTAAACATTTTGGCACACTCCAGAAAAAATGGATGTGTGTGTGTTTGTGTTTTGTGTTTTCGCATTTTTAACTTCCCGTAGGGTAAGTTATAGTAATCGCAAAAAAATCGAAAATGAAATTTTTTATATATCTTTAATTTTCAAAGGTTTCTGAACATTTTGGCATACCTTAGAAAAAATGGATATATGTGTGTGTGCGTGTATATGTGTGTGTATTTGGGCGTGTGTGTGTATGTGTGCGGATACAAATTTTCGTCGGCGAGTTCGAGAACACGGAACAACCGATTTGAATAATTTAAAAAGCATTCGATTCGTATTTATAAGGACACGTGCTGATTAGTTTTTGGTATAGACCGGTCTAGCCGTTTCAAAGATACGGGGCGAATAGAACCAAAAATGGTAATTCAGTTTTTGAGAGAACGAAGCGTCTGATTTGAATAGTTCAAAAAACTTCTTATTTGTATTAAACTAAACAAAAAAAACTTTTCAAATTTTTGGAAACGCAGGCCCAAATTTGAGAATATTTCGAAATTTTCAAAAAAAATGAATATTTTCAAAAATTGCCAAATTCTCAAAATAATAAAAAAGACGTTTTTTAAAAAAAAATTCTAAATTTTTAAATATCTAAATGATCAAAAAAATCAAATTAAAAAAAAAGAATAAATTTTTTATAAACATATACAAAGTTGTTTGTAGAATACGCTCGTCGCTCAATTTAAAAAGCTCTTATAAGTTTACAGTATGTATTTATAATAAATAATCTATTTTAAATTATTCAAGCAATTATTAATTGTGAAAACATTTGTCGCGTAAACAGGCCTTAAGTTATAGTATTTATAATAATCTATTTGAAAACATTTAATAATCCTCGAATATTTCATTACGGAACTGGAAGTTTTAATTCGATTCAAATGATTCAAAATGCATTCAATTCATAATGATGGCGAGAAGTGCTGATTACTTTTTGGTAAAGGCAGGTACAGTCGTTTTGGAGATACAGAGTTAAATGAGCAAAAAAAGGCAGCTTTTGAGAGAACCGAAGCATCCGATTTGAGTGATTCAAAAAACCTTTTGCTTGTATTGACGAAACGATTGTTTTTGGGGCAAGTGAAAAAAAAACATTTTTTTTGAATATCGAAAAATAATTTGTATATTTCTTCATTTTCTCCTTCAGTTGAAAAAACAAATTTTGAGATGTTTCATTTGTTCTTGAAGAAATAGTGTTTCTCGAGAGCGAAATATTTTGAATTTTTGACTTTTGAAATAGAAATGAAACATCGGCAATTTTCAACATACATTCTTTAATAAAATCATTATCAGTAAAAGGTAACGATCTTTTTGCGATTAACAATATTCGTTTGTTCATATATTATTGTTAATGCAATCAAATTGGAAATTTTATGCATTTTCTATGGAAAACTTGATATAATCCAATCCATGTTTTTTTTGTCTTTTGACTTATATAGTCATTACAAACCCCAATCAATCAAATACTGAGTTTGTAGTATAATTGTAAATTATACCACTAGGCTCATACAAAATGTTCAAATTCCTGCGAGCAGAGGTAGAAAAAGAATAAAGTATTTCTTCTTTGACTTGCTTTTTAAAAAGGATTTCGTAACATTTCATGAATTAAAATAAATTTGATAAGAATTATTGGACACAAAGGTTCAATTTGACTTTGAGTAAATATTTTATAAATTATATTATGAAAATCAAACCAAATATATCACAACAAATAACACATAACAAACGAACAATTATCTGACTATGTTCAGTAAAATTGCAAGCTACTTCATCATTGTAGAAATGTGTTTTTTTGCTGTTTTTCAAAAATTTGTTATCTAGTCCTTTTTACCCTATAGGCGGGGTAACTTGGGATAGCCAGATGGCGAACAAAACAAAAGTGTAGTTTTTACACAGATGACACTGTAAATAACCTTGATCTGGTATTTTGTCAGGAATATGCATCAGCAGAGTTGAAATAACTATTTATACAATCTATATTTTGTAAAATTGCTTTATTTAACTTACTTTTTATTTTTTACACGTCTGCATTGGTTAATGTTCAGTTTATATATAACCACTTCAAAAATTTACCTCACCTGGGTGAATATAAAAAAAACTATTGAATCTCACTTAAAATTAATATTACATTTTATAAAACAATTAAATAACTTTTAGTTAAAATTTCTATTGAGGTCCCGTAAACTAAATATACACAGGAGTCAAAACCCAAAAACCTAACAAGGAAAGAAAATACTTTAGCTATAGAAATTTAAAGATAAACCGTTTATCTATCCGATAGTAAAGTCGTAAGAATCAAGGTGATGGCTGGTTATAATTTTTTCCCTCTACTTTCAAATATTGTTTTTGAATAATTCTTAACTGGTTTTTGATATATCAGAGGTAGACTTTTTTAAAGCCAGACCTTCATATTTTTCTATCCATTATTCAATAAATTTATAGCAAATTGTGCCAGTTTATTCTTCAAAACTAGTGGTAAATAACCATTAGTGAATTATATTTTATTACCAAATGGTTTAATTTAATGCAAACGTTCAGAGCTGGAGGAGTGCAGTAATTTGTAGAGTAATTTATTGAGACATAAACGATGCCTGACTGTGTCTAAAATAGATTTGGACATATTGCTTGGAAGGAATTTCTTCAAAATTGTGAATCATTTTTCTGCTAAACTCGTTTTAATATGGGAACTGTTTATACATTTAATACAATGCCAGCATAATCAATTTTCAAAATATTTTATTCCAGAGAACTTGTAGTTTTGTGCATTGACATTTTTACAGCTGGGTATTCCAGAGTTATATATTATCAACCGAATGTTCTTATTTAAATTATTGTCTGATATAACTGGGAATATATCGACAAAATGTTACCTCTGATCGATTTCAAATTTAGATTATTAATTTTAATAACATGAATTAAAATATAATATAATATAATATAGAAAATGTTTTACAAATAATGAGTATAAAATTATACAAATGAGTTCATTCATAGCACCGAGTTTGAGAAAAATATAACTTCCAAAAAAATGAAGTGCTATAATGCCAAAAAGTGCATTTTCATATTAATATTTTTAAAAAGATGATGGTTTGAGTTTTTAATAACACTTGCGGCATGTTTAATGATGTTTTTGTGTATAAATAAAATTACAAACAAAACTACTTACTACAATTAAATAATTATCTAAAAAATTTAATTAAACATCATATATTAAAAGCATTTGACATTTGACGTATGAGCCGCGTTCTATTGTTTTATTTAAAGTACGCTTCTACAAAAAATTTCAAATTAAAAATGTAAAGTTTTTACGCTGTTTTGAAATAATATCTCATCTTCTGCACGATCTTTGGATTAGCACGAATGTTTCAAGACTAAGACTGGCCAAGTCCGCGTAGCTAACATGATATCGAGCTCCAATTTTAT